CATGGAATCTCATCCACGCAAAATTGACATTTGGACATTTTGATGTAAAGTTTCTGTTCTTCACATCGTTTCAATACTCTGTCCAGCGCGGTAATGTGGTCGTTCACATCTTCGCCCTTCGTGTATACGTAGATATCATCGAAATAAATCCGCGCTACGTCACTCAAATCCCTGAAAACCTTCTGTAACAACCTGTTAAAGGTCCCCGGACTTCCACTGAGTCCCATGGGTGTGACGAGATATTCAAAAAGACCATCTGGGGTCGAGAAAGCAGTGAATGGTATATCTGCTTCTCGTAACTTGACTTGATAATAACCCCAGAGCAAGTCCATGCACGAATACCAATAACTTCCGGCCATCGCATCAAAAGTATCTTCCTTGCGAGGCATGGAAATAGCTGGTAAAATCGTCGCCAAATTCAACAGACGATAATCGTGCACAATACGCCATCCGACTGGTTTCTTCACACAGAAAGTCGGTGCACAAAATGCTGACGTACTCGGTCGAATGATGCCAGCCTGAACCATCTCTTTGGTCCATTCCTGTATCGTTTTCCTCTGATCAGGACTTTGGCGCCATTGTTTGACCGAAATCGGTTTAGTACCGGGTTTGAGCAAAATCTCATGCTCAATTCCTTCCCGTACTGGCGGTGTCTCATTCGGAAGTTCCGTACGGAAAACCGTATCCGCATACTTTAGTAGCGTCTCATACGCCGAATTGTCCTTAAGAGCATCCCATCCTTGACTCTTGAAGCGTTCAGCCTTCTCCAAATCATGCGGATTGATGACAAACACTGACTCAATATCCTTGTCCCTACGCAGCATCTGCTGGAACTGTTTGGACGAAATAATCTTCGTTCGCCCAAACTGGCCGTTGTGGCCATGCTGCCGATAGTAGTTGAAGATCTCACGACTTTGCGCAACTCTTGCGCGGCGTTGTCCTGCCACCCAACGGGCTGGACGTGTCTTCGGCAGTCTCAACTTCACAGTCTGCGTGGTCTCCACGTTGATGCGAGGTGCAATCTGTCCAGTACTCCAATCGATGTCAGGGTTCTGCTCCCGCAGCCACATCATGCCTAAAACGACGTCTTTTCCTTCAGGAACAGGCATGACTTGGAATGTTCCTGTCGTCAAAGGAAACCCTGGTAACTGCAGAGACATCTCTACAGTCCGACGTGGACGATGCACAACTTGATCATAACCAAGATCAACTTGCATCATGTCACCTTCAGTGACATCCAACTCAAGCTTCTCCACTAATTCCTCAGTTACGCCATTCAGGCTACTGCCGTTGTCAATGAATATCGTGACGGGCCTCTCTTGGTCTTCCGTCTTGAATGCTCGAGCTTCAGCCTCCAGGATCGCATACACTGCGCCCTGCATGTACCGATTCGCTTCAGTACGTTTCGGCTGAGTACAATCTGGAGAAATGTGGCCAACTTTGCCACAATTTCTGCACGTAGCTGTCTTTTTCCAATCATCGCTCCTGCCTTTCTTATTGTCGGAGCGCTTTGTATTCTGCTGCTTCGACTTAGGCGCGCGATGCCCCGAGCTTGACGATCCTTGCGAACCCTTCGCAGTAGCTCTTGGGGGTTTTCCCGAGTAGTGCACAAACTCAAAATTCGACGCAATCTCAATGGCATCTTGCAATGTCGAAGGACTCTCTTCCTTGATCTTCCTTGCGGTCTCTTCTCTTAAACCGTTCTGAAAGAAGAAACGCTTCTCCAACTCGCTGATCGCCAGTTCTGTCTGCGACAATAAGTCTTGAAACTTAGAGACATACTCGTGGATAGTTTCGCTCTGTTTGAGACGAAACATTCTTTCACGAAGATCGTACTCGAAGTCCTTTGGTCGAAAGCGCGTGCGTAGTTGTTGCTTAAACAACGACCACGTGGGGTTCATATTCGCTCTCTCACATTCGGCTATAAAAGCGCGGTACCAGTTCAACACTGACTTGCCTAAGTTGCTGGAGATAATCGTCACGAAACCGGACGAATCTGCCTCCATTAACTCACGTCTGCTTGCATAGTACTGCTCGGTAGCGAAGATCCATAACTCAATGTCTTCACCATACTTTCCTTCATACATCGGAGGGTCCTTCTTTTTCTGCTCACCCCTAGCGGCAACGAGATATTCGAATCTCGCATTAGCTTGTTGCATTTGGGCTTGCATTTGCGCTTGCATCTGAGCTTGATACTGCTGTTGCTGCTGCGTTATGTATACTAGCAGGTGCTGCATGGACATCGTCTCAGGTCCGGCCGCATTTTGAGCAGAATCAGTAGCAGGGAAGGCTGACTCAGCCTGTGCATTAGTACTGGTCCCTTCACTTGACGCTTGCGATCTTGTATTTGTTCGCATCGTAGGTTGAGTAGCTTCAGTGTCGCTCGGAGCACTTACGCGGCTCTGTTGACGAGGACGAGGGTTCGGTGACGGGCGCTCAGCTGCACGACTCCTTCTTTGAGCCATTACAAACTGGACTTCTCAACACTAGTCTTTAATATACCAGAACCCTAAACCGAAGTTAACGAAGCGAGAAAAAAAAGGTTCCGATTAAAGTTCCTCCCTACAATCTACGTTTCTTGTCTACGTGGATGGAGTGATCAAAAGATCCTTCAAGAATCTCTTGGGTTTGCTCAATACGTTTTTTTGAGCAATTCGCTGAAGTCGTGAATGACGTTCCGGGCGGCTGCGTCCTTAGAACCCGGAATTTCGTTTCGGATCAGGCGGACGAGCTTAAGTTGCTTGACCGTTGTTAACCACAAGTCCAGGCGAAGCTGATCGAGTTGCTTGTGACGATCAGTCAAGGACTCCGTGTTGTTTACAAACGGATCTTCGGGTTGGCGAGTCTTTCGCTTACCCATAAAACAAGCACACTGAATCAGTTACAGTTGCAACGGATGTAGATCAAACACAACCAAGTGAGTATCTAATCGGACGTTCTTTCCGTGATTTCTGAAGCGGGACAAGGATCCACGTAAAACGTGAAAGCGTTAAACCGCAGGCCAACAGAAGGAGTTCCGATTGTGTGTACCACACTAGTGCGCAACCACACCAACTAGCCACTGAACGTAACAGTTCGTGCTGAGG